GATGATGAAGAAAATCCTCCTGGAAAGGATTTCCAAACACATGAAGGACAAGAAGGTGATCAGGAGCAGTCAGCATGGATTTACAAAGGGGAAATCATGCTTGACCAGCCTTACTGCCTTTTGTAGTGAGGTGACTAGCCTGGTAGACAAGGGAAGAGTGATGGGTGTCGTTTACCTCAATCTTAATAAGGGTATGGTCTCCCATAACATCCTCACATACAAGCTGACAGGATATGGATTAGATAAGGGGGCAGTGAGATGGATTAAAAAGTGTCTGAATGGCAGAGCGTTGCAGAAGGTCATGGTACAAAGTCCTTTGAGTCCAGTCACTAATGGTGCACCCCAGGGGTCAATACTGCAGCTGGTACTGTTTCACATCTTCATTAATGACCTGGATGATGGGGCAGAGTGCACTCCTGGAAAGTTTGTAGGTGATAAACTGTGAGGAGTGGCCAATGAGCCAGAGGGTTGTGCTGTCATGGAGAGGGACCCTGACAGTCTGGAAAGATAGGAATCTCATCAAGTTCAGCACAGAGAAATGCCAAGTCCTGTATCTGGGGATATCTGAGGGTAAGCCCCTCTGCACCAGTACAGAGTGCAGGCCATCTGACTGGAAAGCAGTTCTGCAGGGAAGACCTTGGAATCTTGGTAGACTAGAAGCTGACCATGAGCCAACAATGTGCTTTGGTGGTGAAGGTGGCCAGCAGCATCTTGGGCAGCTTTAGGAAGAAGACCATATCCGGAAAGAACGAATTGTGTTTTATTCTTTGGTAGAGCTGAGTTAACTTCAAATCAGAATGGAATTTAGGCTTGGGAACATATGTCAGTGCCATTCAAGAGCCAACATTTTCTACAGGAACATTGCAGAGGATGTGGTTACCTCATCTCCAGCTCAAAATAGAGAAGAGAATGCAGATTTACTCTGTAAGAGTCTTGCAGATTTTATGTCTTTTTTATCTGGTAAGGCATTGAGTGCCTGCTGGCAATTGCCTGACTGCCTTTAGCTGTGAGATAGTTCCTGATATATACTGGTGTCTCTAAACACGCTTCATGACTTACTTCAAAAATCTGGTCCAAAGTAAAGTCAAGAAGTGGATTAGTTTAAGCCAGTCAACTTCTATGAAATGGAGTAAATACAGAACTTTATTTAAATCCAAAAATCCCTCCTTGGAGTTGATTGATGTCTGTGTTCTTTGTTTTGCTTCTCAGAAACCAGAAAGCACTGAAATAGTGGTGTCCGGCAATGTGTCCCTCACCCCTTTGTAATGCAGGTCTGCAGTCTGGATATATATTGTGGAGCACATTGAAATCTTCTAATGAGGCTGACCATCATTTGACCTGTACTTCTGGTCACACTGGTTTGCTGGCTGTTTGTTACATGTGTGTTGCTCTCACGATCTGTGAAATGCTGTATTGAAAGGGAAATAGCAGTGCCCTGGCTTTTTTTGTGCCCCCAGTTTTTATTTTTGAGGTGTATTAACCTGCTCCCCTGAGCACAGATGCATAAAGAGCAGTTGTAACATTTGATCACTTTAGTGCTTTGCCATTCATTTCTCTCTCTCTGTGTCACAAACTGACTTTTAAGATCTATGTTGAACTGTATCCCAGACAGTTACATATTAATCATTTTATCACTCTAACCTCTGGAAACAGAGGAGGAAAAAATACAGTCATCACCCAGTATATATCATGATAAACCAATATCTGGTGAAGGAGGTTCAGTGTTTGTCACTTTTAAAGGACAAATGATATTATGTGGCTCTACATTTGTTAGCATTCTTTTTCAACATGTGAGTTTTAAACTCTGACTGTACCTGCCAGCCATGCAGGCTGGCAATAATAGTGTGGCAGACAACTTTTATAAAGTTGTTTATAGGGTCCCCTTTGCACCTGTCCTGTGAAACAGAATTATGTGCCTCTGATCAGATGACTCTCTTTAGAAATTGCAGATAAATTTCGTGTTGCAAAATTTATGCTAAGAAACTAAACATTGAAAGAAATACCTCTTGCCATGCAGTGGTTTCTTCCTACCTGTGTGCTGAGGCACATCTAAAATCAAAGAAGGGAGAATCTTTGCTAATTGGTTTTGGAGTTGTTTTAATTGTGAAGTAGTCTTGAAATCCACAGTTCTCCTCTGTCTTTAGGAGCTGAGCAGATTCTTCACTGACAGGTTGGTACCTTGTATTTTCCTATTTCTGAGGAATATAACACCTCAGATGAATTTTCTGTTCTTGGATGGCTCACATTCTTCTTTATGCTTCTTCTCAGCTTTTTATACCTTTTAACTGAAAAGAAAAATACTTTTATGCTTCCATGAAATAGAAAGAACTGGGTCTAGTTTAAAGTAAGTGGGTTTTTTTCCAGTAGTTTAATTATTTGGATGGTGGGTGTACTTCAAGAATCCCACCCTCCTTATCCTTTGCACACCATAAAAAAATTTGCTAAAGTTAATTGTTCATGCATGAAATGAGCCACTAGGCAAATTTAATATTTCTGTGAATTAACGCTTCTTTCTTGATTTGTACAGTGTAATTGAAACTGGGAACTGAAGACACCTGAATAAGGGAGACCCTTTCTAGCCTTTGGTGATTAAGGAAGTATTGTCCTCATCCCACCTTTATCCAAGAGCAAGACTCAGTGCTTGCTGTGACTTCTTGTTGAGTCTTCCTATAGAATGAAATTTCATTAAATTCAGTTTTAAATTATGAAAATAATAGCTGTGTCTTGCATCACTTCAAGTGTTCTCCTACATTATAGGGCAAATGATCTCCTTCTGATTGTTCAAGTTATTCAATGGCTAAGTCAGACAACTCTTCTTAACTAACATTAAGATTCAAGGGACTGAGATGGATGGTCTGTGGCAGCCTGAGCCAGCATGGTACTCCCTACTGCCATCCTGCCTGCTCAGTCCTTCCTATCTTTTCTGTGGAAGTCCTAACTTCTTCCTCACACTCCCTTGCTCACCTGACCCTGCCTTGTGTGATGGCTGAGTCAGAGTAAAGCCTTTATTCAGTAGTTCACTTTTCTGGTAGCTTTGTACACTAAGATGGCTCAGCACAGATGAATGGAGGAGCCAGTACATTAACAGGGAGCGAAATCAGGGTGGGAAGGAGAAGATGACAGATGCCCTGGCCCCTCATTAAACCACTGCTTAATGTAGACCTGCTATATGTAGACACAGATTGGACAAAACTGTATCCAAATTACTTCAGAATTGAAGAACTGGGCCAAAGTTCTTTAAATGCTGAATTGTGGAGAGCATTGCTTTGTTGTCTTCTAAGAAATGTAGCATATCAGAAAGCCCTGCCATGCACAAGGTGCAAGACTTTGTGCATTTAGGATTCTCCAGAGGCGAGGCAGTGAGACCCAGAGGTGAGGTGTGGTACAGACAGGAGCACTGAATGTGCAGGATGCTGCTCTGATGTTACACTCCCAAACCAGAGGGCAGGAACACATCTGGGGAGACAGGGACTGAGCATTATCATGCATATTCAAAGACACTTGTGACCCCCATTCTTGAGAAGCACAAAGTATGCATCTCCAAGTCCTGTGTCACTTCCAAAGGTGAGAGGAGATGTAGGCTCATTGTAGTGCAGAATCCCATGACCGTCTTGGAGCATCACTTACAATGTTAATATCAACTACTTGGACAAACACAGTAAAAATAATGGAGCTGGACCAGGTCTGACAATAGCTTAAAGAATCTGGAGCATTGACTTTTCTCTTTGAAGCCAGCTTTTCGAGGTGGTTCACTGTCAAGACATTGATGTGGCTGTTTAGATGGAGTTTGATCAAGGTGACAAATTTTTGTGAAGTTCTTTTGTGTGTATATAGCTTTTGGTTGCCCTCATGTATGCATATATTTAGCCTGTCCACTTAGAACTGAGCAGGTGAAACTTGGTTAACACTACAGCAGGGATAATCTAAGCTATATTGTTTGGGCGTTGGTTTGTTGGGGTTTTTTTGTCTCTTTTAATCTTAAGGAGATTATTCTGATAATGAATGCAGTTGGTTAGGAGTTTGGAAGATGAGTGTGCAGGAAAGGATGGTGTAGTCTTAAGGTTCTGCCTTCCTCAGATAGTTTTTGAATGACTAGGAGAAACACTTAAAATGTGAATCATTACTTCTTCTGATTGACTTTAGATGAGCTAAAAATTACAGTGACTGAAAGCATGCATTGACAAAGTCTGAAATAAGAAAATATTTTAGTATATTTATTTTTAGTAGATTTATTTTGATCACCCAGGTTAGCCAGGCCAGTGGAAGCAGAAAGATTAGTAAACTAAACAAGTAGTTTCGTATTTAAAAAAAATGAAATAGCTTTTGTCCTTTGCAAGCGTAAGCGTACAGCTGACAGAAGTTGTACAATAATGCTTTATACTTTTATGTGGCAGTGTTAACATATTAAAGCTTTGGGGGTGGGGTGAATTAATCAATTCCCCCAAACGTTTATAAGTATTTGCTATGATGCTGCTGTACAATCCTCTAATACTCCTGCTCTGTAGGTGGTAGAAAAGGAAGAGTAAAACAGTTTAGCTCAGTTGCAGCCAGGTCATCCGCTTTTGCATGTGAGAAGTGTCACTAAATGAAAGTAAAGGTGCATCTGCTCATGGACACCTCAATTTTTACAGCTTTCAATTATTTCCTTCTGCTTCAGTTGCTGATGCATCTCCAGGCATTCAGTTCTTTTTCTCTATTTGAGACCTCTTCTGTTGTACATAGAGACTTATTCAGATTGGGTTCTTCAGGCTGAAACTGCTGCATTCCTTCTGGCAGTTGGCCCTTTCCCCACTCTTGATGGTTGCTTCACCTCATTTGTCAGCAAATTATAAAACATCATTATCATGCTCATTACTTTGTCCTCCATTTTGTTGGTACCATCCAATTTACATTAGATATTTGTCTTATGTTTCTAAGTGCCATTTTGTTCTGCTTAAAATCATCTCCACAACCCTCTGAGCACCATTGTAAAAATCTTTAATGCACATTTTGTCTTCCAGATCTCACTGCTGATTGGATTCATCAGTGTAAATAATTCTCCGTGGACAGATTACAGTGCATACAGCTTCTTTCAGATTGTCACCATGTGCGATTTGGTTATGATTTTGTTCTTCTACGTTACCCACATCTTCAGGATCTACAGGAAGCTCACTTGTGTGAGCTGGCCGCTTGCGGTAAGCCTGTTACATCGCCTGGGTTCCTTGCCTCTCTTGGGGGTTCACATCTCAATTTCTTAGTCCATTTTCTTGTGCTATCTCACAATGATAGGCTGTCTTTCACTTGATTCTTTGTTGCCTTGTATGCAGATTCTTCTGTTACTAGTATTCAGTTCAGCAGATGCTGTAATTGTAAGGTTTTTTAGCTGATTTGGATCTGATCCTGCCCTCCTTCAGACAGATATAAATCCAGATTTGCTTCAGGGAAGTCAATAGTGTTATTCTGAGACAATTGCAAAGAAGCTACTGATTATCAAGCCTTTAGCAGATGGGTCCTAGCTCAGGTCATTTAAAGCAGCTAAGGGATTGCTAATGTACCAAATCGTAGCATTAGAATCCATGTACTACATCCTGTCCCAAAATAAAGTCTGTGAGTGCTATTTAAGTCAAATGTGTCTCTTTTTGGTACAGTTTTAGGTAACTTAAACAATAGCAAGAAATAGGAGCCTTGGCCTGATTGCCATAGCCTGGCCTTTTCTGGGATATCCTGCAGGATGTTCTGCTTCATTCCCACATTTCCCGTACACATCCATCTCTCATAACCTAGTGGAGAACTAACAAGCAACATAGAAAATGTGGGACCTGAACTTTTTCAGTAGCTCTGGGTCAGGTCAACTAATAAAGAGTTCTGCATCCTAGTACGGAATGATGGATTTTAATAACCTCTTAGAACATGCCTCCCTTACACATAGCAACATGTTAGTTCCACAGAGGAAAGAAAAAAGGAATGGGGAGAGCAAACTGGAGAGATATAGAGGGATTTTGAAATCCAAGATTGGTTGGATGGCATTTAATGGAAATTATGTAAGTATTGTACAGATCTAAGATAACAGTCTGTCCATCCATCCACTTCTAACCAGAGAGAAAAATACAACTTTCTTTCTTTTTCTTTTTAGCTGAAGACCATGGTTAGGCTTTTTTCTTTTTAAATGTATGCCACCACTATCTGTCTCTAAAGGTGCTTATTTATTTAGAAATAATACAGATGTAGGTATTAAAATAAAGGACTGAAGTAAGCTAATAAATGACAGTTTTGTAAAGCAGCATTTAATGTGTGCATTGCTGTAACAGGACTATGCCATTTTGGCCTCTGCATAGGCTGCTTTTGATTTTTTTGTTTTGTGCTTAATCATTCCTCTATTTTCCAGAGCCACTAGTGAGTTTAAGGCGCTGAAGTTTGTGGCTGCTCAGCTTCAGGTAGCTTTATGGGATATGATGCTTGAACACTGCTGCTCTTTTACAAAACAGACAACTTCCTTATCAGTCACACATTTAAGTATCTTTAGAACAGAATAGGAAGGCATATAAGAGACTTTGGGAAACTACAGGTAGCACTCAGATGAGTTTCCTGGCAGGATTTCTACATTGCAATCAGGGGTGTGATTTGTAGTCAGTAAAGTTGCAGTGGTTCAAGAGGTGGTTCAGCGCTGACACCTTTTAAAGCTTGGAAGTATTTCTCCAGAGGGGCACTCTCTCAGCCCTGCCAGGTGTTGGTTCTCCACCTAATTTAGCCTTTGATGATTCCATTGAACCTCTGCCCATCCCTCAAATTCCTCTAAAGTAGTGGCCTGTGTACACTGCTTTATTTGCTGCCTCTAAGGAGGCAATGGCGTGTCTAATTTGCCTGCTGCGTCATGGACTAGTCAGAGAAAGGCTCCTTATGGAAATAATTTATTCTAGAAAATGCAAGGCTTGGGATCTTGATTAACTGAAACAAGGTTATGAATGAGGAAAGCAAGTTGCGGTCTCTCTACTTTATGTCAAAAATCCTTCTCAGCTCTTTATAAAACATCTGAGCAGAGGGAAACTGGTATGATAGACTGTTTATCCTCTGGGCTTTCCTTGAACAATTTTGGGATTATATTCTGTCTTGTGGTTTGAAATAGAATCTCTCCTCTCCCTTATACATGGCATTCCCTTGGTTCATGCGGATACAGTAAGCAGATATGCCCCTGCCCACCCCAGCCATGCACAAGAAACAACCCATGTTCAGTGTGCAAACACACATATTGGTTGCCATAAGCTTTGTGAAGATTCAAAATCAATCCACAGATAACCCCTGCTTGTAATAAGGTAAAATTGACTCCCAGACTGATACTCATCACACTAGAGAAGATCTTAAATGTGGTGCCTTGGTGCTCTCCCAGAAAAGCCCATGCCATCATGTTTTACTGCAGTTGTGCTTTTCGTGGCTTCCCTCCTGTTTTGAGTCTTGGTTGACCTAAGTCATTAGTAAAGCCAGCAGTAGATCCATTGCTTACTTTTTAAGATTATCAGAAGCAGGAACATTTGGTTTTCCACTTATGGCATCTCATATAGGCTAGAGAAATATGTCTTTAAGGCTTCTTCCTTCCTCCAGAACCATCCCTTTAGTGCAATGCAATACTTGATGCAATAAAGAGACATGTTTCATCCTCAGTAATGAACCATGTTGAATTGAAAGGATTGCATCCATACCCAGTAAGTAAACCTTATTCCAGTGACATTAGTAGATCTGAAGATTGTCCCTCTCCCCCTTTTTGAACAGAAACTGAGGTTTGGCACAAAATCCACTCACAAGGTGGGTTATGAGGGGTTTTTTAATATCGTTTTGCCTTTTTTTTCTTTTTCCTTTTTTTACTAGTGTTTTGTCCTCTGGGTTTGAGTCACTTCTGCCAACTTAATTTCTTTCTGAGGCATATCAAAATGCTTTCCTGCTAAGTTTCCCTTCTGATGCAGGCTGTGCTTGTCTTTACAGGAGTTCCTTCATTACTTAATTGGTACAATTCTGCTTCTCATTGGATCAATTGTAGCAGCAGCCAAGAGTTACAATGTGACTGGACTTGTGGCTGGAGCGGTAAGACTGTGTTTATTAGTCTTGGCATTTTTAGAATTGCAATGTATATATAGTAGGGCATTGGAAATCTGTTACTTGTACTTACAGACTTGCCTTGCTTGTGTCTTGATTGGGTGAACTACCTTTTTACTCATTTCAGTGAATGTTCTGAAACACAGTGCCAATAAAAATATTTTGTTGTGAGACTCCAGACTCACCACTAAAATTGGGTATTTGTCCTGTCAGAGTGTTGAAACCAAAGGCTTCTGCTTTAACTCACAAGAACTAATGTGTTTAGGGGAAGAATTAAGACAATTAAGTTTTAACAAAAGGCTGTTGTAGCACCTGGAACTTACCTACAGAATTTCATCTCAGTCTTTGGGTTTTGATTGCCTCCTGCTCCTGAACAAGGACCTCTTCAAGATAATTTCTCCTGAGCTAAAACCCACTGAGGCTCTGCACTGACTTACTGGAAGATGCTTTCTGCCTCTGTTGGCCGGAGGGCTTTGTAGAGAGAGGCATGACTTGTGAGTGTGGGTGACAGTATTTTCACAGCAGCAGGACCAGAAATACAACTCCTCCAGAATAATGAATTGCTTTCAGAAACTTAGTCTGGATGATGCAAACAGACTAGAATACTTAACCTGACTTGTTTATTTGGCAGGCAGCAGGGAAAGACTTGTTTGAATGGGGCAGTAAAAGAACAGTACTCAGAGGTGCTAGAAACAGCCTTTTCTTTGTTGCAGAATCCTAGTGAGAAGTTTAGAAGGTGAGACTCCATGCTGCTATCCAACTTTTTCTCCCTCCTTGTATATGACTCTTTGTCTGTCTGTCAGTTGTTGTTTTCACAAGACATAACTTGCTATTATACTACAGGAAATTTTATTTTTTTAGTATTTTGGCAGAATGGAGTAAAAAAAAATCACTTTTTTGGATCTGTTAATCTCATAAAATATGTAGCTGAATATACAAAAGTGTTCATACATGCACGGAATATGTGTCATCTAATGCTCTGTAAATATTTGTGGTTTATTTGTTTTCCCATCCAGACTTTCGGGTTCCTAGCTACAATACTTTGTGTTTTAAGCATGTGGTCGTCCTACAAGGTTTCATGCATCACGCAGTCAACAAGTAAGTATCATGCTTAGTAACTGCCAGAATGCTTCCCAAAATGAATATTTATATTTTCTGCCACAGGGCTGTGTCTACCTGAAAGGATTTATTAATGTCTTGGTTGTTGTTACTCAAAATTACTCACAAAGCAGTAACTCCATATTTTTTGTCAACACAGACGTATCACAGCTACTGACAGCTGTAAACAAATAACTACAAGAGCAAAATAACTTGCTTCTTGCAAATGCTGAATCTATCAACACTTCCTTTTCTCCCTCCCCTACCGCCTACCAAAAGAAGGTTTCCGGTGTGTTCCTTAATAAATTAGATTAATTTGTTTGTTCCTTTTCAAAGATGCATCTGTGTGACTCCATCATCTGTGCAAGATTTCTGCCTTACAAAATAGGATACCAAAGAGGAGCGTCCACTACCGAGGAGGGGGCATGGGTGTTATGTTACTAGCCTGGACAGCTGGTAGCTTTGGAAGATCTACTTGAATGCCTGTGCAAAACAATGTTGTGAACCAAAGTATTTTTGCTCCCCTCCCTTCTCCCCACCCAAAGAAGTTTATAATGGAGAACCTGCTTGTTTTGGAGAAAGACAACTTCTGTCTCACAAGCTGGGCATGGTCATGTCCAGCTATTTGCAATAAGTGCATTTAAAACTCATTTGGACAGTTGTTTGGTTCTCCTTTCAGAGGGACAGAAAAATTGCTTCAGATTTTCTCCATCTGTTTACTCAAGGGAAGTCCTGCAAATTCCTACCTGATCCTTAACTTCCAAGGATGATTTGTTAAAGGAACTGTTATAAACTAATTTGTGCCTGGATACACGGACCCAAGTCTTTGTTACCTCTTTCTATCAGAACTACGGACTATTTCTAATATCAGCTCAGCCAGCATAAAAAATTATGAACTGCAACTTGAATACATCACTGCAAACACTCCCTCTTAGCCCCAACAGTACATGATAAAATCGAGGATTTCCTCCATGAATTTTTACAGGATATTAGCAATCAAAGATTATTCTTCAAAACTTCCCCTTGCCAATTACAGAAAAATACATACCCAAGAATATATGTTTAATGTTTTGTGGGATCTTTTTTTTTCTTTTCACAGTAAGACCTGTTCTGTAGAAAATTTCTGTGCATTTCCCTTAAATTATTCTCTTTGGAACCTAACAGTGTTTATGGAAAGCCCACTGTGCTGCTTTCTCTTACATGTGGTGTGTCCCTTCCTCTGCCTCAGCTGGAATCCATGCTCCTGGAGACTCTGCCCAGAGCCTGGACAGACAGAACAGTTCAGTTTTGTCCAACCTGGTATGATCATGAAGTTCTATGTAACTTCAGTGCTGAGACAATTCTTTCTCGGTACCTTTCTCTTTCCTTTTTGTAGCCCATCTCGGGAGACCTGGAAATTCTTTGCAGGAAAAAAGGAAGCGCAGGCCCCTCTTCCTCCTTGGTGCTTCTCCTTTCATGTCTAGCTGTGAAGTACAGCTTGTACTTATAAATTGGTTTCTTCTGTCAAGACAACTGCATGGTGGTGAAGCAGAAGTAGGATTTATACAGTTTACCAGGGACAATCTGGGGGAAAAAGCATTTTCTGGCCTGCTATGTATTTTTGAAATTCTGCATCAATACTGCTAAGTAATTTAATGGTCCTCTTGGAAAATTCTTTTTGTGCCTTGTAGCAGGTCAACACGCACTGCTATTTGTTGCCACCTTATTTTTTTTCTCCCATCCTAATACATGTATCTTTACTTAGAATTTTTTTTTTAGCTCTTAGACAAGAGAAATTGGCCAACTGCTTAAGTGTCAACAATTTTGAGTAAGTAAATGAAAATAACTGAGCAGATACCCCTTCTAAAGGTGCACAGCTTCTGTGATTCTTCTTGCTATTCCTTTTCATAAATGCCCTATTTACAGCAACACAGAGCAGCAAACAATTTGAAACTGCTTTAACATTAATATAGAGGATTATTCAAATAAAACTAAACAGGCAGTTGTAATGTTACTGATTGCATATTGACTATTTTTTATTTCTTTACAATGTCCAACTCTGGCCTGCTTTTCTGCCCCATACCTTCAGATGATATGTTTTGTGTTTGGTCAGAAACAGGCTGGGTTTTTTTATTTTTAACAACCTGAATTGAGCATGCCTCAAAGGCTCTCTCGCTTAAGAGAACAAACATTCTTCTAGAAATCCCTGTTAGCAGTGTCAGTTATAGTGTAGCTTCCTTGCCCTGCCAGCACAGGACCAATCAAATGGCCATATGGGACAAGACTTCATTCTAGGACATTGGAGTGAACATATCTGCAGAAGAAGGTACACACACACATATATATGTATGTGTAATTTTTTGCAACAGAGGTGCTTGGATCACCAGTCCTCCTGCCAAGACTGACTTAACTACAGTTTTTGGAAACCAGCACTCTGACTGTAATTTGGACTGATATGGTAGATATTTAAGGATACTCCCATCTTCTGTTCCCCCAGAGGAATGATATGTGCACTATTTTTCCTTCACCTCCTGAGATATCACCTCAGATAGAAAGTAGAAACATTCCTAAAAGCTTTAACCTCACTTGGCAACCCTGTGGGAAACCAATGTTCTGCTGCAGATGGTGTGAATGCAGGTAAGGCCTCAGTGCTGCAGCGGTAGTAGGGAGAAGCACCTGCTACAGATTGGGACTGGCGCCTGAGCTTGCTCTGAAGAAAAGGGTGTTTCCACTTTCTTCTGGAATGATGCCTTTTCTCCTGGCACTACAGTAGCATTTTTTTTCAGCCTCTCACATCACTCTGTCACTTGTCACCATATGGAATAAAAAAAAAAAAAAGAACTCATGGAATTTCATGCAGTCTAACAACCAAAGAATTTCTGAACTATGCTCTGTGATCATCCAAAGACTATGTTTTGTTGCAAGTGCACTTGTTTATACTGGATCAAGAGAAATAAGCTACAGGTACCATTTTGGGTTTTGTGCCTATCAACAGGGCTAAGGTATGCCTGCAGCGTTTGCTGTTATGACAGTGCTGGGTCTATAGACCCACTATATGCTCTTAATGCGGGATGCTTTCAGGCTGGAAAACTGACATCTCTGCTGCCAGTTTCCTTGCTTTCCCCAAATCCTCCTTGTAAAGCATGTCTACCAAGACAAGCACAGATTTTCTGGTATCGCCAGCTCTACCGGGCATCTTTGAATGACAGCTCCGTCTGGCAGGGAATTCGGCACCACTCTACTGTAGCTCTGCCAGCAAAAGTGTTTCAGGTTTCCCTCCGTGTCAACCTGGTTCTGAAAGCTCCATCTGTCTGCAACTTTGTCAAATATGGGATTCCAGCTGTTTTAGAAATAAACTCTAACTCTGCTAGCTCTTTGGGTGATGTAGAAAATCAGATTGTTGTCCTGTTCATTTTTTTCCGTCCTCTACTGCAGCAGTGACTTTCTTTCTGGGGAGTGTCAGAATACATCCTGTAACTGGAGGACAATAGGCAGGAGCCACAGAAAACCTCATCCCCTGCTGTTTTGTTTGGATGTGCTGGTTTCCAACTCTCCCACACAAAAGTTATCCATCCCCTTCAGCTCCAAGATGAGTGGAGTATATCCTTTGAGCTAACACTGATAGATTTTGGGGTTCAGTTTTTACTGAAAAATTAAAATGTAAATATTGGGAGAAAAAAATTGGTACAAACAAAAAATCGTACAAACTGTTTCATACTCTGAAAACAAAAACCCTCATGTTTGAGTACTGGGGGCTTGAGATAAGTTAGAAAGTGAATAGTGGTTTTGTCAGGGAGAAACTGGGAAAATGAGAAGAGGAAATGAAACTTTTTTAAAAAGAGGAAGGGTGGCTTTGAAAAGCTTGAGGACCATGGTGCTGGATGAAGACACTGCAGGTTATGTGACAGCCTGCACACTTTTTCTGTTGTTGAGAAATGGTTATGTTTTGCACTGTTTGGAAACAAATCACTGTGAGGGGGTTGGAGGGGGTAGTAGGACATGAGGATAGTAACTTTTAATCAGTTGTGTGTATGTGTGTGTGGCAGGGGGTGTTAAGTGATGCTCAGGGAAGACAACTAGGAACTTAGGAAAAAAAGGAGCAGACAAGAAGGAAGATCAGGTGCTAACATCTGTAGAGAGCCCATGAGGGGAGGAACTAATGTGAGTCCATTATGCACTAATAGAAATTGTGTCAGATATCAACAGTTTCTGGCTGTTTCAGTAATTAAAGGACAAACCTGCCTGGAGTGATAGAAAAGTCTCTTTACTGCTTGTCTGCACTTCATAGCCTGTGTCTGGCATTTTCATGTTCTGCTAAAGCTGCAGGAGGATGCACGAGATCTGACATAGAGGCTGTGGAACATGGCATCAAGTTGCCACGTGCTCTGCCTTGTTTAACTTAAAATTGTTCAGGGCCCCACTGTTCTTAGGGACAGCATGGAGCAAAATGCTGCTGCTGAGGCTGTGTGCTGGCCCGTGGCCTTGGCCATCCCTCCAGCCTGGGGCCAAGTACAGACCTGCTTTTAGACTGAGTGCAATCTGAAAGCCAAGGAGAGCTGCAGTTACATATTGCTGGGCCCTACTGATGCGCTTGACTCTGGGGTGGCATCCTGAATATGCTGCTGGTTGTGTGAGATGGGGGGAGGTGCGTACCAGAGAAAGGGTCTGTGGGAGGCCCACATCCTGTTCTTTCTGCCTGCAGGGATTCACACCCATGGGGCAAGAAAGAGCTCTCACCACAAACGTCTGTGGTATTCTTAGCAACCCCTCTGTTGGGGCTGTTTCAGGTTTCAGACTGGAGTGCAAGTGCAAGTGCCATGCCCTTGGCTTACCTTTTGCTCCTCTGCAGATGCACAGGGCTGCACACTTGTGAGGTCATCCTGTTGGGAACAGGCAGCCCTTGCTTTCAGTCCCTGGTCCCAGGGCTTGTTTAACCCTGCTACATGGAAGCAGGTCAGAAAGTCACTCTGGTGCATGTCATCTTCCTCTCCTGGAGAAGGATGATTACTTTTTTCCAGCACAACAGCAGCTGGAAAACAGGAAGAGCAGTAAGTGCTGTTAGCTGCTCCTGTCTGTCCCTTCTAGAGGTCACTGATTACCCACAGCTGGCTACTCCAGAGTTTATTTCTGTTCAGCCTGTTCCTGAGCCCAGAGTCCCTCAGCCCCAGCTAGTCCCCTGGATCAGCACTCTGGTTTCCCATGGCCAGTATGGCAAGTACACACTGGAGTTTATTACTAGGGACTGACAAGTATACTCTGGGTTCCCACCATCCAGGGGCTTGCATAAAAGTTTAAAAAAATTTCTAAATAACTGATGATTTATCCTCTTATTATCTCATATCTGCACTGTTTTACTGTGTAAATGACTTGCTAATTTATTAAGTATCAAACGAGCTCTCATTGCCTGCTTGAACCAGTCCCTCTGCCTTGGGGCAGTTGGCAAAAAAAAAAAAAAATGTCTGCTTTTTTACCCTCTACCTCTGTCTGAGCTGCTCTGACAGTAAAAGTGAAATTGTCTGGCCGTGCCCAGAAGCAGCACTTGACACAGGTAGGAAGATGGAAAGTTAGGAAAAATAAAGAAGAAAAAAAATTTAAAAAAGGTTGCAGCATCACAGGAGTTTCCTGCCTCGAAGATGAAGTGGCTGCCAACACGAGCTTTCAGTTTTACATGGAGGCAGAATTTAGATACCAAAATCTTTGCAATTTTTCTGGCTTAGTGCTGTGAAAGCTCGGCTTTAAGAAGCCAGTGTTGAGTAGCCAAAGGCACGATATTGTGGCTGCTTGATATGTGTTGTGAGGAACAGCAGTGTGATAGGGAGGCATTATAAAATGGAGGCAGAGGAGAACTCTGCCTTTTGGGGTGGTGAGGAATGAGGGAAGAGCTAGAAAAGAAAGTGCAGATGAAGAAGCCAAAAATCAAGGGAGCACTGCAGAGTAGCAGCACTACAGGACCTTTCCTGAGGGAGCAGCTCAGAATAGTGCTGTTCCTTGGGTTAATGTTTTTGTATCAATTCCTGAACATAACATCACCTCCAGCAGCACCTGGGCTTTGCATGTTGCTGAACGACACCTTTACAGAAAGGTACACAAGATAAATATTTTCAAAAGCAGTTTTGTCACTGTGTAAATGCCAACTGACTCTCAGGTGTGTTTGAGCAGAGTATGTCCTTCAGAGCACTAGCCAGCCATGAAGGCCAGAGCTTTTGAAGCAAAAGAAAGGATTAGGATATAGATAAATTTACTTCAATTAAAACGCAGTTTTGTTAATCCTGGCTTGGACTGAGTTGAATTCAGTGTGCCCAAGATAATGTAATATCATTTATTGCTCTTTAGATATTTACAGACCTAGAACAACAGCAATACACAAAGCAACCATTTGAAAGGAATAAAGTGCAACCTCTAAAGCATTAGCAGAAGAGCAGCAGTCCTGCCCTCTTAACTGTGACAAGAAATTCTGCCAGCAGTGTCAAGTGACACAGGAATGCACAGGTGCCAACACTTGGTGCTACAAAGCCCCAGGTTACTCTGACTGGCCCTGAAGTGATTTCAGGCCTGCCAGGTGCGCAGAGGCACTGCCATGTACATCACCTTCAGAGCCATTCTCATGGGTGACTCCAGAGAGGTGTGCCCACAGGCTGGGACCATGAAAAGGCAGACAGGCAAATGTGCAGCAAGCCAAGCACCTGGGGAAAACGGGGAACAGCACAAAAAGGAACAGGCTGAGTGCTCTGTGCTTTGCGTGTGTGGGTATGTGCAGAAAAAAGTAATCTGTGGTGCTGAAGGAAACACCTGCATGTTTTTGTGGCTGATGAAGGGGCTACCAAAAGGCCAAGAAGAGTACATCAACTTTTGAAGTGGAGTTGGCATCTGTGTCAATGATGTGGTAGGCCAACCAGGGTGGTGGGGCATTCCTCCCCGCAGGGGTGGATATCCTCAAGCCACTAATGTAGAGTCATTGCTAAATTAAGTATGTCTGAACCACTCATTCTTTTCTTACATGTTTGCACTTGTGCAGAAAGAGCAACAGAAGACAGGCAGCCCTCTTGGCATAGGAGGAATTGCAGCAAGACTCTAGACACTTGGGGAAGAAAACTCCACAGGTGTAGACTTGGAGGCACCTAACCCTTCAGCAATACAAGGTTAGACTAGGAAGTTGAAGACAGCACTCATTCTGCCCTATTTTTACAGGACAAACGGAGTAAATACCATTCTCCCAGGAAAAAGCACAGTGTGTCTTGGGCCTATTTGCACAGGACTAGCCTTAATACCGAGCCACTCTCCCCTGCAAATTCAATGAAGAAAGAGAAGGGCAAGAGTCAATCACAGCAGCAGTGACTCAGAGTGCAGGAGTTACCCTTCCCCTCTGATTCATTCTCTCGATGTGCCTCTTCCTCCATCATCTACCAGGGGTCCTTGGCCACTCAGCTGGAACATCTAAGGGTATATATGAGGAGAGACCCCTTTCACTTTTCCCCGTGAAGCTGCGGCAATACCCACCTTTTAATTCCAGCACTTGTATCTCACTGTTGCTGGGTGGATGGGAAGGGACAAGGCTAGGAGTTTGTTGTCACCTCACAGCCTGTAGCTACCCAAAAGCATCCATTTGCAGCTTCCTTCTATTACATTTGCAGGCCAGCTGTGATGGTAGGGTATGATTCCCCCTCCTCCCCCAGTACAGCCCTGCCAGCACACACAATACACTAATACAACTTTCTTTTATTAAGATTATTGGGGGTTATATGAGGTGGACTAGTGCTGGTGGCTTTGTCCCACCATGAGTATGAATCACAGTTCTGCTGGTATAATAGCTCCTTTTAAATCAGAAGTGCTTTGTCCATCTAGCAGTCTACTGTTATTTCTACATCTGTAAATCACTTTTAACATAAAACTTAATGATCTGCATCCCCCTTTTTCATGAACCCCTGCCAAACAAGAGCACAATGCTGCAGCTGTAGCTATTAAGCTATGGTGGCAGCAAAGCACTCCATTAATACCTCATGCTCAGCAGTTTGTGATGCATGAGAGCTGAATAATTATGCCCTTGTTACCCTCCAATGAGAGGCACAATTGCCAGAAACAAGTGTTTACAATTAGAAAAAAAACTGTATCAAGTCAAGGACAACATTGGTTCATTCATAAAATGAGTCTTTCTGAGCAAAAGGACTGTGAGGCACAAAACAGGCTTATGTTAACGAGACACTTGTTTCTAGAGCTGTATTGTAACCCCTCAGATAGACCTCCATAGCCACTTTATCCCAGCTGTTTTGAGAAACTAGCAGGCAGAGCTTTAGCCAAAGCTCTTGTTGCTATGAATTGCACTGATAGAGAGGTTTAGTTCAGATTTCAGGTAGAGGAATGGGAAGCATCAAAGAGGATGTGAGCATCAAAACCCAGT